TTTTTTTTTTGTCCTGTCAGAGGTGAATATTCTATTGGCATCTAAATACTATAGGTGCTTGAATTCTCCAGAGACTGTTTATGTGCCCTTGAGAAAGATGTATCTTCTGCTGTTATTGGGCAGAGTATCACAGGGATTTTTTCTGATTAAGTTTACAGGGTTATTCAAGTCTTCCACTTCCAGGCTGACCATCCATCTCATTGTTCTAGTCATCATCTCATTGTTCTAAAAGTGGGGTACTGAAGGCTCCAACTATTATTGCTGAAATTCACTTTTTGTTCTTTCAATTCTGTCAGTATTTGCTTCCTATAATTTAGGGGTCTGTTACTAGATGTATATATGTTTATGATTGCTAGGAATTCCAGATAAATTGCCCCTTTTATCACTATCAAACACTCTTCTTTGTTGCTATTAATATTGATCTTTAAATCTATCTTGTCTGTTATTACTATAATCACTTCTGTTCTTTTATGGCTACTATGTGCATGGAATGTCATTTTCCTTTCTTTACTCTCAGTACCTTTGAATCTAATTTGTCTAGTTGTCTTTGAATCAACTATATACACATAGCATATAGTTGGAACATATATTTTCTTCTTTTTACCAACCACTGCCTGTTGATTAAAGTATCTAATAAACCAGTGTTTAATGATCTATTTAATAATCTATGTTCCATGTCATATTCTTGTGCACTTTTATTCTAGCACTATTGGCTCCTTGTGTTTCAAATATGTATTTTCTCAGGTAATATTTTCAGTCTTTTGATATTTCTTTTATTATATTTAAAAAATATTTTCTTGATGGCCATCTGGGGGTTACACTTAACATATTCACTTGTAACTATTCCTCTTGTTTTGCTTGAAGCTTCTTCTTAGAATTTCAAAAATTTAGTCAAAATCATATTCAAAATAAAAAAGCTCTTCATAAATTCTGTTTAAGTGCACATTAAAGGATCTTACTACAATAAGCACTTGCCTCTATCATAAACACTTACCTTTTCTAATAATACGTTCTGCCACAACCTAAATATACTGAGGTAACTTCTATCCCTGGCACCAAAAGATGTGAAGAAAAACTGCAAAGAAAAATAATGGGACAATTTTAGTTCATAAAAATAAGGAGCAAGTACCCATCTTGGACTTGCTGTAGTCTAAGCAAACTAGTTAGGCATTATTGCTATTTACTGTCGCTCTTTGCTGCTACATACTATTTTGTATTTAATTTTTTTGTAATAATGGAAAAAAGATAATTGTTGTATGAATAAAGTGTCTTTACAAACTGTGACTTACAACAAACAGTATTTTACAGCAAACACAATTTTGTCATTATTTATTGGGGGAAATTTGAACAAACAGCTATTTATGTTTATTATGGTTTATAACTATTAAAATCAAGGTAAATAATGAGCATTTTATTTTATTCTGAATTCTGCAATATGAGTTGCTTGCCGATAAGCCAAGTCTACACAAAGAATAAATATAAACAAATAAGAGTATATTTCAGAGATGCATTTAAGAATATTAATTTTTTATTTTAATAATTTTATTGAGAAAGAAGTAGCAATGAGATAGTTTCAAGACAGGTTAGTAGCACAGTTACAATAATTGCTACATTGGATAATGTTGTCTTTGTAGTAGTTGTTCTTAGTACAAGATGCAGACATGATATCTTGTCTAAACACTATTAGTTCAAAACCTTCTTCTCATTGAACTAAGAGAAAGTAGCTACATATTTATGCTATTTTGTATATACAGATATGTATTTTTTCCCACTACAAAATGGTCCATTTATATCCCCTTTTTAGTTTACTTTTATCAGAGATGTGCATTCCATTGCCATTCATACATTGTAGGTGCGTGACTTCAGCAGAGTAATCCAATATAGTCCAGTACTCTATAATAGTAGTGGGTTATCTGTAGGATAATGTCACTTCTGGCAATGTCAGAAGTTGTTGACTTGAGCCTTTTACAGCTCATTATATTAATATGACTTTACTTTTTATACCTCGATTTTATACTTTTCTGCTGGATGGTTAAGACCAAGATAAAGCAAGACCTATATAACAAGAAATGTAACTTTAGTATCTGCCAAGGTCAGTCAAATTCCTTCAGAATTTACCCTGAAACCCTGTACAGCAGTTTGTAGATCTTTTGTCAGTGTCAGCCACGTGGATGAGTCAGGGCCATTGCTTGACCAATTTGTTCTCTGTGAAAGCCTGAGAGAATGTTTTCTCTCCATGTGACTCTCCTTAGGCACGTTCTACATCATTGACCACTTTCCTCTGTGGCCCCATAACCTCCTTGCTCAGAAAATTTGGGACACAACTGAGTTACATGATATTACAGTACAGGTTTTCCTATGTCCTGAGTCCTCACTAACCTTGAAAGGCTAGGGCCAAAATGTTGGCTGTCCTTGCAGCCCTTCTTTTTCTCTAATTTCTGGTCTGCAAACTTAAGTTGTTAACCCTCCAGAAGAGAAGCTTAATGATATTATTACCCTATAACATACGTAGTTGAGCTTAACCTTACTATTTGTCTGAATATCAAACATCTTAGACCTAACATGGAAGAATATTAATTTTAATGTTATCATCTTTCATAGTCTTTTAAAAATTCCAAAAATACTAAATCTCTGATAACTATAGATATAATACCTTCAATGTTAACTCTAAACTCTTCGTTAAATGTTTTATCAGGAAAGTAGCATGTTTCAAACTATAATTCTGTTTGCTTTCAGCCCTATATATTTCTCTGCATTTAATTGATCTTTATAAAATCATATATATATTTTGGGGGGAGCGGCTCCACCTGCCCTGAGAGCAGAGCTGGCATACCATGTGGTGCCAGGGATGGAATTTCAGTCCCCTTAGCCTGCCTAAGTTTGCCTAAGCAGGCTCTTTAGACCATTGAGCTACTTGCCAGCCCACAAAATCTTATTTTTTAATGCTTTTACGAGCTTCATGTTTATCAGATTTTTTTCCCCTGATTTTAGAGTGAAAGCTTTTAGTTTTTGTCCACTTAGTAGGATGTTGTTTTTTGGTTTGTCATAGATGGCTTTTTCAGATTGGGATAAAGACTATCTATTTTGAAAAAAGGGCTGGCCAAATAGCTCAGCAGATTAAAGAACGTGCTTGCAGACCCAGGGGCCAGGGAACCCCAGGGCCTGCTGTGCCAGCCCTTCCCCCGGAGCGTGGAGAGATGGCAACTGAGACTGGGCATGGTGGCGCGTGCCTGTAATCCCAGCTCTTGGGAGGCTGTATGCAGGAGAATCACTACAAGTCCAATCTAGTAGTGAGACCCTAAACACCATGTAGACCCTTCCCTAAAAACAAACAAAAAGACCATCTATTTTGATGTTCTGTAGGTTTTTTATCATGAATAAATGCTGAACTTTGTCGATAGCTTTTTCATTATCTACTGAGGTGATCATGTGATTTTTATCTTTGGCTGTTTATATGGTGTAATACATTTATTGGTTTGACTTGAGAGCCCTAGATTCAATCTCTCACAGGGCATGGTAGTATATGCCTATAATCTCAGCACTCAGGAAGCTGGAGAGGGAGGATCACCGTGAGTTCAAAATTAACCTGGACTACCTATGTGAGTTCAATGCCAGCCTACACTATAGCAAGACCCTGTCTTAAAATAAAAAAAATAAAATAAAATAAAAAAATAAAAAAATCCTCAAAAATAAATAAATAAATACAAACCCTCTGTGCATGATCTCTTTCAATCATCTACTAAGTGATCTTTATGAACTAATTAACAGTCCTTAGAAGAAAGCTTAGAGTCCGTGAGATAGCTCAGCCGATTAAGCTCCTGCTTTGGCAAGCTCAGGAACCAGGGTTCAATCCCCCATCTGTATGCAGCACCAGCACCGGCCCCACTCCCACCCCTGGGGCGCGCTGAGCCTACAGTGGAGTGTGTGGTGGTACATGGCTGTAATCCCAGTGCTGGGGAGGCTGAAAACAGGAGGATCACTACAAATCTGGGCTGTGTAGTGAGACCCTGTACCAAATACATAAAATGAAAATAAAATAAAAATAAAAAATAGAAGGGCCGGCCAGATAGCTCAGTGACTAAAGCACCTGCTTAGGCAGAGCGCAGCAGCCGAGATTTGATCCCCAGTGACCTGTGATGGCCCTGGGGCACTGAGATGGTGATTAAAACTGGGCGCAGTGGCACGCGCCTGTAATCCCAGCGCTTGGGAGGCTGAAAACAGGAGCGTCACTATGAGTCTGATCTATGTAGTGAGACTCTGTAGATCCTGAAGACCCTGCAAACTCTGTACAAAATATATTAAAATATAATAATAACTTAATAAAGAAAGCTTAGTTCCATGCTGGAGTTATTACATAAAATGTTAATGTGAGTATTAATGCTTTTCATAAAAGATTTTAAAGTGCTTTTCCAGTTTATCGAATTTAAATCTTCTTATAAATCCTTCATAAGGCAAAACTTTATAAAGAACATATATCTAAGTACTCTTTCAAATAGTATTTGAAATATAATATGTAATCCAATGATTACTACTTACTACTATGCCCTGTTCCCTTTTCTTATGCCAAACTGTTCAGCCTAGTTATAATAACCTACAACTACGTGTTTAAATGTATAGATCAGAAAAATCCCTTGAGAAGTATAGAATTCTTTATCCTATTTTTAAAATATAATCTAATTTTTAAATGTTTTTTTATCATATTATGTAGGGACTTAGTGTCCAGCATACCAATACTTGATGAAAAATACCTGTTCCTTATTATGCCTAAGATGTTTGAAATGCAGTGAGATAGTGAGGTTAAGCTTGATAGCCTAAATCGTTTGATAATAACAATAAGCTTGTCTTCTGGATGGTTAACAACCTAAGTTTGCAGACCAAAATTAGAGAAAAAGGAGGGCTACAAGGAAAGCCAACATTTTGGCCCTAGCCTTCTAAGGTCAATTAAGACTCAGGACATATGAGAACTTGTACTGTAACGTCATGTACCTCGGTAGTGTCGCAAATTTTCTGATCAAGAAGATTATGGGGCCAAAGAGGAAAGTGATCGATGATGTAGAGTGTGCCTAAGGAGGTCACATGGGGAGAAGACACTCTCTCAGGCTTTCACAGAGAGCACATTGGCCAAGCAATGGCCGTGACTCATCCACATGTCTGCACTGACAAAGGTTCTACAATCTGAGGTACAGGATCTCAAGATAAATCCTGAGGGCATTTCACTGACCTTCTCAGACCAAAAAGCTACAACTCTTGTTGCATAGGTCCTGCTTTACCTTGGTCTTAACCATCCAGTAGAAAAGTATGAAGACGAAATATAGGAAATAAAGCCATGTTGTTATGTTGAGCTGTGGGGGACTCAGGTCAATAATTTCTGACACTGCCAGTTATACAGAAGACCCAATGCTATTATGGGCTACTGGACTCTTTTAGAATATTTTGCTGAGTTTACACACCTATAATATTCAATAACGGAACTTAGAAAATATGGGGTACACCGATGAATGTCCATTTTGTATCTGTGTATTCAAAGTGGTTAGGATAGATATATAGTTGCATTCTCTTAATGAATAGAATGATTTGTTCTAATGGTGTTTGTAAATAGGATCACAAGTCCGCATCTTGTACAGCAATTAACCACTAAGAAGAATATATGCAGTGTATTATTTGTTGAAACTGTACTTCTGATTTGATTTGAAACTGTCTCACTGCTATCTGTTTATCAATAAAACTTTGAAAAAAAAAAGAAAAATCCCTTCATCTCGTTTCCATCAGTGTTTTATGCTAATCTCTACTTCTTTAACTAAATAATGTACTTTATCTATTTTTGTATACAACTACCATATTCCCAACACCTTACAACTCCCAATTTTTTACACAACTATAGAAAACTACCTTTATTCCTTGATTCTCCTATTGATATTCAACTTATAAAATGTATTAAGTCTTAGTTCAACAATAAGTTCCTTCATTTGGGAATAGTTCTGCATAAGGATATCTCAAGTTGCTGGCACACAAAATATATTCTAAAACTTAAAACAAATAAAAGAACCATAATTAGTCTTTCTATAACCACAGACT